ATGATGATGATGATGATGATGATGATGATGATGATGATGATGATGATATTGATGATATTGATGATATTGATGATATTGATGATATTGATGTATTGATGTATTGATGTACATGTTCTGTCTCATCCCCTTTTGATAGGCCTCCCGAGCCTTCCAGTTGTTTCAAAAGATGTTCAGGTGTTCTAGTTGTGTGGTGCTACAACCTTTGATATACACAGTTGACATGAGGGGACAAGGGAATGAATATACAATGACTTATGTGCATGAAAGGGAGGGGTGGAGGTGTGTATGCACCGCAAATATCCAAGGGAGCTTGAAGGACAACTGATTCCCTTTCGGTGACATGCAGGATGCACCACCGGGCCACCCCATATGGCAGAGTCGGGGCCCCAAGGAGAACTGATTCCGGAGGGCTGACACCTTGCATCGCGCACCCGACAAAACCTTCTTGTCACGGGACCGAAATCTCAATCCCTTGCAGGAACGAACCGGTGAAATGGTGGCCTTCCGATGGCAAGAAGGCAATGCCTTGACTAGTAGCTTCTTGTTACTAGTAGTGATGAATGCCCTTGTTACATCTTGTTACGAGTAGCGTAGACGTTAGAATCCCCAAAATGCCTCCTTGAAACCAACATCTCCACGCGCGATTCGTGCCATGTCCGGCATCAAAATGCCCCATGGATTGACGCATCCTGCCACTTGGAGCTGCATGCTAAGTCAAGATTTGCAAGCACATTGGCAACAACGGGCGCGAGGGCCCAGCTGATTCCGGATCTGCAGGTTTGGGGGGGAGCAGAAGCAGCAGAAGGAAGAGTTCTTGGAGCACTCCACTCCCAGATCACTCCAAAGACCACCTAATATGGAGTTACTTGGTTGCTTTGGAGCTTTTCAAGTTCACTAGCCCAGTCATCTTGTTGAACTGGATGCTGGACATTTTGACACTGTGGTGGCGTTTTTCAAAAAGAGAGTATCGACTGTTGATCGCCTTGGGCAGAGCCACCCGGGATCGCTTGGCCTGGGCATCTTTCTCTACTCCTTTCTTTCCGATGGTGAACTTTGCCAGCAAACATCCACAGAAGGCGGTCGTTCCACTAATGACATGTTGGGAGCTTCCCTCTGTTTTTTTTATGCGACACTTGAAGAATAGAACCCGTATCATTCCCCTGCTTGAAGAATTTGGGCCTTCATTCTGAGGCCTTGCTCTGTCCATGGCACAAATATCCCTCCCCTATGGATCCAAGTACCCTCTGAGAAGGTGTTTGGGGTGGGTTTGGAGGGTCCAAGTACCTTTTGAGGAGGTACTTGGATCCCTAGGGCTGATGGAATCTGTCTTTCATCGTTCCCATTCGCTGTGCACGCCCAGCGCGAACAGGGTCGCTGGACCCAGTCCGGGCAGCGCGCGGGTCCGGTCGAGGCTCTACGTTCGGCTGAACCTCGCGGGGAAGAGCACCTCGTGCGGCGCTTGAACAACCGGCCTTTCCTTTCTCGGGTGACAAGGAAGTTGATCAAAAGAAGTGTATACGCCAGGAGGTCCAAAGGCCAGTCCAAAGGCCATGGTGGTCTTTAGTCTCATCCAGGGGTCGTGGATGTGACACGGGCACCCAGTGCTTTGGAACTGGTGCAAATACTAGGTACCTTGAGGTTTGGGAGTCCAGAAGTTCAGAAGCTCAAACCACGTTGATTCTCACAAAAAAGGTGTTGTCCTTTCATTTGTGCTGACCGAGTCATAAAACTGGCGTTGCCGAGATGTGATTGGAAAGGAACACACTGGAACTCAGAAACCTACTACCATCTACTACCTTTTGAAGGGAGTCACCATCAGCACCAACCCACTCGATCGATTCCAGGATGAAGTTTGTGATTCATCTCACCTATAGTCATCTTGTCCACACCGCCCCAGGTTCACTGTGACCTACCTGCGACAAGGATCAAAGGTGCACCCGCCCGCAGACGCTGGCAAAGCAGTGTGGAAGAGAATAGAAGACTGTTGGAGTTTGATTTCTTCATCTCATCCCCATGATGCCCGTTGACGTGGGCAAAGTGCCGGCAAAAGATATCCAAAATGTGACGGACAAGAACGGTCTTTGGAAGAAAGGTGTGCTGTCCGGTGAGGGTCTTAAGCACGTGCAGTGCGGCTCCTGGAAGTTCAGTGTTGTGATCCAGAGCTGGTTCAATTTCAGCTTCAGCACTGTCAAAGGTTCTTTATTGATCCTTTTTTGAACTAAACCTTAAAGACACGAAGCCACGAAACCACGAAACCACCCGACCTATCCCATGAAGGCTCCTCCTCTCCCGACTGTCAGCAGCGCCGCGTTCGCCCCATATGGAGGGCTGACAGACTGGGTGCCGCGGCAGGGCTGACAGACTGTGACGTCCTCCAAGACTTGCAGATGTTTTCCATGAACTGATCAGAACTTGCACTTCCAATACCCACCTGTTGTCAAGGGTTGATTTTGGAAGAATCATTTGAAGGATCCACAGAGGGATGCGGAGGGTGAACTGCCATTTTGACTCCCTTATACAAAACATTGCATCAACCATCGAATCATTTGCTCATGTTTGCACAACATTAAGCGAGAAACACGCGACCTGAAACAACACCAACAGCGCATGAAAACAGACACCATCCGTTTCAAACAGCTGCGGAAGAATCCGCGGCCGGGCCACGCCCAAGCTTCGCTTCCTCCTTCGGCGCTCGACGATGCGACGGCGCAGGTGGACTGGAACGATGCGGAGCGCATCCTGCGCCTCTGCGGCGCCGAGCCGGGCGGCCCAAACGGGCGTTCATGGGGCCCCGTGGGAGGCCGAAAGGCTCGGGTGCGCGACAGGAGGAGAGTAGGCGCAGGTAGACTGCAAGGAGAACCGATACAAATACGAAGCCAAACTCAAGTTGTTACCAGATCTGGCCACAGGTTTCGACACATCTTCTTGAGGTTTTTTTCGGTGCCCTCCACCGAAAGTGAGAACATGTGAGAATGCAAGAACATGTGTCTAAACCTCGGGGGTGGCCAGATTTGAAGTTCTCATTCTACACAACTTCCCAGGATTTTGTTTGTATGTGCGCTACTAGTATGAGTGTTGAGTATCCAAAGTATCCAACAAGAGAGGAGTAAAGGAGTCACAGGCAAGACACTTGAGGACACCATGTACACTCCCACATCTGTGTTTTCCGCACGCCACCACAGACCAGCCGCGTCATCTGTGAAAAGCTTATGGCCAGATCATACATTGTGACCCCAATCTATAATAAGTGTAACTATTTCCAGTTGGAGGCTATCGCTAGTAGGTTGGAGGCCATCACTGCCATCGCTAATAGAAACCAAGAAAAAAAAGAAGGAGAAGAGGTCTTATATAGTTTGCTATTAGCTTGGAGGGATGCTCTGTGCTACGCACAGTGCTACTGGCCACACCGAGGTTGTTGGAGGGTCGGCCGGTGGAAGATGTCAAGCGCCTCGGTGGTTCAGCAGCTTTTTCGGTCGGTCGGCTGGTGTCGGAAAATCCAGTGCTCTCGGCAGCTTCTCAGCCACCTTCCGAAGGACATATACTACCGACCGGTGACTTAGGACTTGTGTGGGCCAGTGACATAGTAGTTGTGGCCCACTACTCCTAGTCGAGAGTATATGCTCTCAGAAATCAGGAAACCCGATGACATGAAAGGACCCCCTGAAGGACCCCAGTGAGAGGACCCCCGACACCGAAAGGTGTAGACCTTCGCTTCTTCGAGGTCGGTTGTGGATCTTTTCGTTGGCGAAACATGTGAAACACCGGTTGAATTGGAGGGGGAGTTGGCCGTTAGGGGTTGTTTGAGCCAAGAGTTGGGGTAAGTTGTAACTTCTTGGCTACATCCACTGTATGGCAGCAAGTCCACTGTGCACCAGCACCAGAATCCAAGCCAGCTCAAGCCCTGCCAAGGAAATTAAGGGTGCTTTTGTTGAACAGATGCATTGGCAAGGAGAAGGCGCGGCGGCCATGCCCTGTTGCATTGAGAGTAACTGTGAAGGGAAAGTATCAAAAAGATTGGAACACTGAATGGTACAAAGTTTGTATACTTCCATATACTTCCTTAATGACACTCACCTCAACTCTCCTGTCAATTGCAATGTGAATCGGTGACAGAGGCGCTGAACCAATCCCAGATTAATCATATCAATCAAGCCCCAAACCATGGCAAACCTGCATGATTGCTCCCAACAATTGACGAAACACAATCTCTTGCAAGCCCACCTTCACCTACAAAAAAACACGTGCCCATGTCCTTTGCTGCTTGCGACGTTTGGATCCCCTTGGATCCCCTCAGCCACAAGCCGAGCCGTCTTTCCAGCCGTCCTGCGGTTTGACCGCCTTCCGTGTAGGGGGACACCATGAGCTTGCTCGAACAGTGGCGCAGCGCGGCACGACCGAAGGACTGCAGGGGTGCACGCATGGGAAGGTGGATGAAGGCGTGACTGCCCAGACTGCCGAGGTCATGGGTGGCCTTTAGACCGCATACAATATGTAACATGGATGATATTCTCAAGTATATAAAGTGCTTGGTAATATCGTTTCAATACCACTTTCAATACCATGATCTACAATGTCTCAGCCCCTGATTCAATCACTTCCCCGCTTTGAAGGTCTTAGAAGGTTTGCGTTCAAGATGATTCTTTTGATGAAGAGGGATCTTTAAGACTAAGCTCCTCATGGGAAGGAATTAGGCGTTTTGGGAGGGAGACACTCAATTCATTAGGACCCAAGCAGGAACAAAAGGACCACCGGACCGTTGGTTTAAGGAGTGTTCGGGGTCGGTCGAATGAAGACTGACTCCTGTTGATCGGGTCTTTGACTCCGGTTGAGCTCCAGGATGAAGCGGTCACTACAGCTTCCAAGGAAGCCCTCCAGGAGCGGAAAAACCAGGGGGGCAGTGGGGGCCGTGGAGGATGTCCTTCGCCCCAAATGGAATTCAAGAGTGACACCTGACAGCCACCAGGAGCTTGACCTTTGGCCAAGGCCACAGGGTTGACCTCAGGCAACCGATCTGGCCAACATGGTTGAAACATGAACCACAAAAAAAAAAGCGCAGAGCTTGACCTCATCACCTTTGGCCAAGGCCGCTGTAAGCCTGGCGGTCCATCCGGAACCGGTCCCCCTGAACCGGTGGACGCGGACCGGCTGACCGGGGTCCGGGGTGACCAATGACCGGTAACTCTTCCCACATGCGCATGGTTTGGGAAAGAACACGGCATTTGAAAGTGGTTTTGTTTTTTTGGTGGGTGGGGGGGGTACAGTATGTGGCCTTTAAGGCGCTTGGAACTGATGGTGTCCAAGCTTTGCATTGGCAATCAACAGTTTCAGGGCTGCAAACGAGATCCTTTTGTTGGAAGCAGATGGTATAACGAAATAGATGCCATGCAGCAAGGGAATTGAATCACACCGGGACCTCTTTCACTTTCACCCTTCATGTGTTTTTTCAGTGAAGTGAATGAGTCTTTTTGCACATCCAACTGAGATCGTCCAAGTCGTCCCGCAACGCTGGGTTGGATGCCAAGCGCCTCCCTCAGGAGGAGACCACACCCAAGAGAGCTGCCTCCAAAGAAAGCATTGAGGCAGCCCCGAAGGAGACAAGACCTTGTTAGCAGCAGAAGATCTCATCAAGAGAGCGCCACCCATGAAGACTAATTCGCAGAAGAAACTTCAAGACGAAAAGCAAATTAGGTAAGAACCATGGGATACCATGGGTATGAAATGAGACTGACTGCAATCCTGCAACTCAGTGGGAACCTCCTCGTCTATGGGGTGTTTTCTCGCCACGGTGATCTGTGTGCCCTGGGACATTCTTCATCGGTTACATGTTCAGGGTTCATTTATGTTCACTCAGTCAAAACAGAACAGCTGACCGTGGTTTCCTGATGTTTCCTGATTTGAGGTCAAAGGTGACCTGCCGAGCTTCAGTTTGATCCAATCTTTGTGTGAGATGGGGCTTTGCAGCCGCAGGGTTCTCAGTTGCAACATTTGACCAGGAGCGACGAAACAAGCGCAAAGAAGCTATGGAGCCAACTGCCCAGGAGCCAGCAATACAGATGGATGTTCTGGAGTTGTTCGCTGCACTGGTTGTTTCCTTTCCCAGACACTCCATGTATGGAATATATGCCTACATTGACCCCCCAAACTACCCGACCCCAACTGATCGGCAGGTCCTATGGCAGTCCCAGGGAGCGTTGTTTCCTTTAGCAGTTCATGTCTATGAAGTCCACCTAGGTTGGATGTTCAGATCCTCGAATTCTTCCGATGACTTACCATCATTGTATATGAGTTTGCCGTGCCTCTTTGCAGTCAGAGGGGGGGGCGCTTTTCCCCCCAAAAGAAGTCCGGCACCAACGGCGGCACCAACTGTCTGATGTGGTCTAACCTCAGGAGCAGCGCACTCCAAAACGATCCAAAGAAGTGGAGCATGGCATCAAGGCGGAACCGGCCACGCACGGCTGCCGAGACTTCGGCGATCTTCGTCGGCTTGTCTCTTGGCGGGGCGGCCGGGCGTGGCACGGGCAGACACCGTTTTGTTTTGGTTGCAGGTCAAGTGATGAACCCGTTTGGCAATCCTTCTTTGGTGAGGTATTGTCACCACCTAACGGTGCTTTTGGACAGCTTTCTAATCGTTGAAGATGCGCCAGCACGGGGTTTAAGCCAAGTCGAATCTTTTGACGGGATAGGGCATGAAGCTGTAACAGTTGGAGGTTTTGTTGTCGTGTCCTGCAATATCCTGCAATCTTTTTGATCTGAGTGGGTTGCTGCCTCCTGAATCCATGAAATCCCATAGATGTTCAACAAATCTGAAACCACCACCGAGGCCACCAATCCACTCAACACCTTGCGACCTCTCGAACTTCACACATGTGCGATCGATAAAAGACGCACGTTCTACTTGGGACAGGAGGTACTCACCTGTCCAAGAACCCAAGAAGAAGATACTGAATGCAATCAAATTATCCAACATAAAGAGTCTTAATATGTCTTAATCGCCTGACAGAAATTGGAAATGCTTCGATGCATGATTTTCCTTCACCAGAGCAAGGCAGAATGGTAGAAACAGCGGCCGCCTCAGATTTCCTCCACCAACGGAACGTGTCGGCCGCCATCCGTATTGATTCCATGTGCACCAAGCTGTGGGACAGCGTTCTTTGGGCCTCACAGATACACTCCAGAAAGCTAACGAACCTGAAAACCACGTCGGGTTGTAGAGGAAAAATCGTCTTGCAAAGGTCCATGAGTCCAGCCACGTGGGTCTCTTCCAGGGGTGTCAGTGGGAGTCCTTCTTTCCCGCCAAAAGGCAGCGGCCCGAGTCCTGCCCCGTCTTTGGGTGGCAGGAGCCAGCTCCGAAGAAGGCAAAGGAAGTCGAGGACTGCGCAGCCAGCTGCGTTGAGGCCCTTTGAGGTTCCAAGAACTCAGAGGCCAGCTGAGTGTTGTGGTCGGGTAACAAGTTGGTCCCTCCGCAGCTTGGGGTATTGAGGGATGGCTGGCTGATTGGGTCCAGTCTCGCTTATTGTGATGGAGAAGATTGGAGAACCATCATTTGGGCGCATAGGGTCGCAAGACTCTTTGGTGGGTTTCCGTTAAAACTGAAGCCTGGTTGCCCTGCCATCCCCTGGCATGGCTTCACATGCAAGGCAATCCAGCCACCACTAGGCAATCCATTCTGCCATGGATTGGTCCAGACATGCCCACAGAAAAGGGGCTCTTAACTAAGCCCGTTGGACTCTGCAGGACCTTCACGCGGCCGTTCCCGCAGTGGCGGCGCCACGCCCGGTGGCTGCTCCAGAGGCCTATGGCCTATGAGGGGAAGTGGTTGATTGGTGTATGTGGAATATCTCCATGAAACATCAGGGACCATTTGTTGGATTTGGGGTTGACATGGGTTGACTGTCGTTGAGACTTGCATGGAATGTCAAGTGGGTGCCTGTTGCGATCCGGAGTCCATGTTCTGCCTGGCTTGGTGCGGTCGCTCGTTGGTGGACTCAATTTGTGTGCTAAAATCTCTTGCCAAGCAGGATTTCAATGGATCCGAAGGGCAGGCACTGATGAATGGGCCCGGCATAAAAGGATCGCCTACTGCATTGGATACACTGAAATTGGATCTTTGTTTTTTGCTTTTTTGTTGCTTCCAAGCTCTTTCACACCTTATGATGCTTGGTACAACTATCGAAGTGAACCGAGAGTACCACCTTCGGTGTCCCACCTTCGAAGTCAGTCGCGGAGTCACGGACTGCCCCAAAGACCAAGATGAATTTGCTAGATATAAACAGGCATTTTGACACCAACACCTCCAGTTGCGTTCTGTTTTTTTTCACTTCCCATGGTGCTCATGGCTCGTTCTGGTGCTCATGGTTCCGATATAATTAGCTCGTCTGCTAGCTCGTCCGCCGGGTCGCCACGTGGACTGGACGTGTCGCCAGCGCCTCGTCAGCTGCGGCTGCGGTCGCCGGGTCGCCTCCACAGGACTTGGACTTCGAGGCTTTGGGCATCGAGGTTCGCCGCGGTCGCTGGTCGCGACGGGTGGACGGTCCGCGCGGACGACGGGAGGACGGGAGAAGGCGCCGAATTCCTTCCAGCTCTGAAGCTCAAGACAAGGGGTGAAGAGATTCGGCAACCAGAAATCCATGCGTGGAGGCCCAGGTAAATCATTTGATACTGCTCTGTGTAATTAGGGGGTTTTGCATGAAAAAGTGACCTCCGCCGCTTCAAGATGTCCATGATGAACTCGGTATGTTGCTTCCTTTACGGCGTTGGTGGGGGTGATTCGAATGTTTGCGCACTCTCGGAAACCGGGGCGCATTCCTCCTTGAAAGGGGACACCTGAACCTCGGAGATAGAGGGGAGTTCCCCAACCGCTTGCTAGTGTAACAGTGTAACTGTTTGTCCAATCAGAGGTTAATGGAACTGGATGCCCTCCACCTGGCTTTCCGGGGATTGATATATCCTGAAATCCCAACCCGCTCCAAGTACCTGCTCAAGAGCTATTTGTTTATTCTTTGGGATCCTCCAAGCCAACCCGGAACACCTTCTCAGAAGGCACTTGGAACCCTAGGGACAGGAAGTATGCTGGCACTCTTTAGGTTCTTGTCCTGCGAATCGAGACCCTCGGGGACAACACTCGCCTCCGCCCTATGCCATCCTATGGCCGTCAATAAGGGCCAAAAAGAAAAAGAGTTGACGCTTCCGGGTCACCTGCACCGCCTCCTTCACCATGATCGGTCAGGATGCACCAGACACGAGCCTTGCATGGAGCAAGGCCAGGTGTTTGACCGTGATCGCTTGGGAGCGTGTCGGTTGGCAGGCGAGTGAGCACGCAGTCTGGCCTGGATGTCTCATGAAGACAAGTGATGTGGACTGTGGACGGCTTTTGCAGTTGGAAGAGGGTTCCCAGTGTTTTCTGACAATTGGGTTCGCTGTGTTTCATGTTGTTTGCATGCCCCCAAGCTGTTGAAACCCTCTCAACACTTCCCAAAGCTTCATTGTTTCCACCGGAATCCTCCAAACAGAAAGCCGATCAGCATATGAAATCGCTGGAATCCTTCACCAAAGCAACCCAGAAGCCCGGTTCCTGCCACCTCAGACGGACTTGGATCGCAGAGGTGGTCGGAGTCTCACCGAATCCCACGTAGCTGTTGTCATCGATGTGCCGCCATAGTTGCCACGGGAGACGGGAGGGGAGTTCCCCCCCAAGCCCTGAACGTGAACAACTTCGGCATCCCGAAAGCACTTCAAAGAGGCTCGAGAGTTTTTGTTGGGCAATCCGCCTTCTTCGCCGGATCGCGCTTTTGGGCGGCCACAGGTCGTCTACTCCAAGACCAAGAAAGCCTGCACTTTTGGGCCTGGGCGCCGGAGAAAATAGCAACAAACAACTCATTTTTCGACCTCTTTGGTGGTGGGGCCGTATCCTTGTGGAACCAAGGGAATCCCCGCAACGAACTGACTCAGGAAGACGGTGGGTGCAGCATAGAGCGGTTCGCTCAGTGAGTAGGCAGATGCATGTGTTCACCCTTGTTGTTTTTGAGATCCGTTTTTTGGATCAATGGAGTAGCGTCGAAGAGCTCCAAGTTTTGGGGCTATCATGGGCCATGCCATTAATAAAGGCGAAAGCACAACGACGAAACACCGCATGCATGTGTTTCGCTGCACCGAGTACATGTGTTTCATGATGTTTCATGTGTTTCAACACCTTCGAGATGCACAACACCTGAAGGATTCGAGTACTTCCTGAGAAGTATCAGACTTAGACCCCTCCCATGACCATCCCAGCCCGCCCATCTCGTCCGACCCCGAACGGAGCATCCGACCCGCAGCATCCGACCGCGACGTGAGCGGCGTTTTGAACTTCGGTCTCTGAGGTTCAGAAGTGAAGGGACGACGACCTACTTCCAGACGACCGTGGGCGCTACCTTCGGAAACCTCGAGGCTTGACCTCGTCGAGCCTCGCAAAGTCGCGACGAGTCGTGCGGGCGGCGTCCGCGAACACGGGCGCCGGGTGGTTGTTTTGGAGGAGTCTGGGAGGGAACGGCTGAGTGTTCGGGAGCAGGAAAGACGGTACACCGGCAGAATATATAGACCCGCTTATATATAGCAACAGATGTTTGTGGGCAGCACCTGAAGCAGCAGCAGCAGCTAGGCACCAAAACGCACACAGGCACCTCCTCCTATACTTGATGTGAGAACCCCAATAATAGCTCTCGCTGTATTTGGGGAACAAGCTGCACTCCACAAGATTCACATCCCCATCAGTATAACCAGAAGTTCCAGGTTCCGGGTGCCAGTTTTCCATGCGTTCCTTCTTTTCCCAGACATGGTCTGCAATTCCATGATGGTGTCCCATCCGAACACCTCACCCACGGCTTTTCGTTGACACACTCACATCGTCAAACCCAGTCACTGTGCACGGGTTCTGCCAAGGACCGGACGTTCCATTTGTTCACAAGGTTTCACTTGCCATGAGTCAGTCCTCCCTTTAAAGAAACCACACACCTTCTTCTTCACCTCGCCTTGCTGGGAGGCGGCCATGCGGATCGCTCGCGGGGCTCCGAGCGGTGAAGGGGGGAGGAACGGAACCAGAGGTGAAGAGGGTGGAATGGAGCAAGTCCAGATTTCCTGGATAAAACACATGCAAAGACCTTATAATAACTTTTTTTGGGGGTGGGGATCCTAGGATCTGGGCAGTGATCCTGGCTGGGATCCTTGCAAACCCCTTGAATGAGTCATCCTTAACCATGTAACGTCCTTCTAGTGAGAGGTTAAGGGATGGTGAAGCCCCCATGCTAAGAGACATCCCCTTTTCTTGGGGGGCTCTGCAATTGGTTTCAGATGAAGAAAAAAGGTTCCAGATGAACAGAAGGGGTCAGATTTGGATCACAACCCTGACCTGTCGTGATCCGCTCAATCTCGACCGGGATGGCCCGCTCAGCCAGGTGCATGTTACCATGAGTTCGAGTCCGGGCCTCACTTGGCGTGAGTGGGAGTCCTGGGTGAGTGGGAGTGGCCGTCGGACCTCCAGAAGACGTCCGCTTTTCGTTTACAGCGGACGTTCAGATCCTGCAAGGGCTGGAAGTGCTCGAAATCATCCATGGCTACCTGCATGGGAACATGGCTCCGATTGTCGCATGACCATCATATGCAATCCAAAGACCAAGCAGGTGGTGGTTGGTGGTTGTCCACTTCCATGCTTGAGTGTTGAATCTTACATCCCCAGCCACCGGTCTCAGAGCGCGAAAAGAGATGCTCACTGCAACATAATAAGGGAACCTGTCTTTTACAGGGAAGGCCAGGCTTTGGATGAAACAGGTGGTTTTGTTCCTCAAACAAGCTAGATACCAAAACATGGTCAGCTGCTCACGTGAGGCCTGAGGCCTGTGTGATTAACTCTTTGGCCAGTGTTGAGGAGTGCCATTTGCCCAAGAAGATTACAGTGGTTTCAGAGGCTCGATGGCACAGACCGAAACCGATGTCCTGAAAACATGGGGGTTCATATAAACCACCGACCTTGGGGTTTGTGCCATTGGTCCTCTCAATCCACTATAGTTGAGGAAGACCATCACTATAGGGACCACGCTGCGATTCGACGAGGCACGCTGCGTCCCCAGACACGAAGCGACACAGGACGTCCTTTCGATTGATGGTGACCTGGAGAAGAGGTCGTTGTGCCGGAAAGAAAGACGTCTTTTGCAGGGTCTATATAGGTATATATTGAATCGTGTGACTGACTTGTGTATTCTGAACTTGGTAAGTCAGAACGCAAACAAAGGGTTTTCCTGTTGTTCCTCTCTATTCCGGTAGATGTCGTTGAATTGGAGTAACATCGATCGACTTTTCACCTGATTCCACTGATGTCCGCCTCGACTCAGGCTAGGGAAATCAAAGCCAGAAGTTGAGCAGTATCGCAGCGAGGCCTATGCCAGGCGCGCGGGGAAACACAATACAATAGAATACATTAAGGTGTTTGTCAACTTGCTTGCTTCTACTGTGTCTCGTTTCCAAACTTGCTTTCGGGCCAAGCGTTTGGACAGGTGTTCTGAAGAATTCTGTACAGCGTACCCTCTTGGTTGGTCCCACCTAAACAGAGTATGTGGCCCAAAGAAGTTCCTTTCAAAGCTCAATGTGTTGACAGTGCCATGCCTGGAATTCCGATACAGAACTTGTAGGATCCTGTGAGGATTCTCCACCATGCAATGGACCTTGGAGTTCTTTGCATGGAGTGTGGAAAATTCCACACCACTCCCATACACACTACAAACATCTGTGTGGTCAGCCTGTATGGGACAAGCATTCCAAAAGGAGCAGGTGCATGTTTCATCTGGAGGAATGATGAACTTGATCCTCGCCACACAGTCACCCAGGGTGCACGTGTTGTGTGACCAGGCTTGGAGTGAAGCCAAAGGTGGCTTCGAGCCGAAGCAAGGTGTCTGCAAAGGCCGTGGGAACATAGGGGCACGGGCTGGAAACAGGAAAGAAATGGACAGAATCACACTTTGCTACTACCTCCAACCTGCTTGCGATGGCCTCCACCGAGCATAGCGTCCGAAAGCTACTAGTAGCTTATTGAACAGGGAAGATCGATGCTTGTGAGACAAACCCATGACTCGTCCAAGGATCCAAGTAAAATGGATCTTGGGGTTCTGGAGTTCGGACGTCCAGACAGACGGGCCGACCTTCGAGCCGCTTATTAAGGCCTGTACCTTTTCGGGACCCTTTGGATGGAGTCTTTGGAGAAAATCACTTCTTTTGGAAGCCACTGGTAGCACTGGATGACCACTCCCACCGATCAAAAAAGTACTGTATTGGCTCAGGACGATCACGTGCAATGTTAACATTTTTGCATATGCCTGATAAAGGGGCATTGGCATACAAGTTCAGCTCGAGCCAATTTCCCACTTCCATGCTTCTCAGCCGCTTCTCATGCACCAAGCAACGCCATCACCCTGCCCACCGGTGCTGTGTGATGTTGATGTTAAGGTGGCCGCCTACTAGCGATAGAAATGGAAAGAATCACTCTTTGCTACCTATAGTAGCCTTCTTGCTCCGTTCGTAGCGATGGCCTCCAAACCTACTTGCCATGCCCCTCCACATACATAGCGTCCGAGGTAGGGTTCGGTTCGTAGCGTCAAGGTGGCCTCCTCTTTGTTCACCGGTTACCTTTTGCAGGCGAAGGAGGAAGCGGAGGAAGCGACCTCCGCTCCACCCAAGCGACGCGCGCAGCCGCAGCAGCGTGACGAGCAGCGTGATGAGCAGCGGCCGTCCAAGCAGCGGCCGCCCAAGCGAGGGAAGAGGGCGGAGCTGGAGAAGAACCAAAAGGAGACGCGGAGCCGAAAAAACATAGAAGACGAGCGTCAGTGTGACCATAGTACAGCGTGATTCTTGCTGGGTTGAGATTCTTGCTGGGTGGGACATGCTTCAAGATGCTTTAATATTCATGGAGGGTGAAGGTCGATTTTTGGACAGAGCAGGTGAGGTTGCTTGCATGAGGTGTGGGGTATCCCAGAAATCCATGTTGATTTGGGGGAGGGAATTTTGTTGGGCTGCTGATTGTTTGAGGAGGGCTTTTATTTCAGGAAAATTGGTGTGTTGCGTTTAGTGAATTGTTTGTTGGATTTGCTTCTTGTTGCTCCTCCGGCTTTTCACTAATTCCCCTGCTGTTGTTCTTGCTTTTTTGTGCTTGTTGTGCTTTTCCTACTGTTCATTGCTTCTTGCTCCGGCTTTTCTTGCTTTTCATTTCTTTTGTTCTTGTTTTGCTTTTCCCCGCTTTTCCTTTGCCTTTCATTGCGTCCCTGTGATTTCTCGTGCTTTTGTTGCTTTTCCTGCTTATTGTCGTCTTGTGGCGTATTGTTTGCCTGTTTTACTATAGCTTTTGCTTTCTATGGCCTTTGTTGCCTTTTTTGTAGTAGCTTTTCAAGCCTTGAGTTTGTGTTGCTTTATTCTTGCTGTTCTGGCTTTCTTTCTAGCTTTCTCTACTTTTCCTACTCTTGTTGTTTGTTTTCTGCCCTACTGGTGCATTGTTTCACCCTAAGGGACGTTCCAAGTGCATCGTGTGGACAGAACTCTTGCATTCTGTACTCCCGAGAACTCTCGATTATGATGCACTTGTCTCATGAGTGTTCGCCCTGCAGCCGGAGTTTTGTTTTGCCTTGTGGTCCAGTTGGTGGCATTTTTTGCACACAGGCCCTAGACTAGGCCCCAGCCCTGAAATAGTCATGGACACGGATAATTGCCTCCTGGACAGTTATTGTATTTCTTCTACCAGCAGCTAGCCTTCCACTTCCACTAGAGGAACTATAGCGAGAGAAACCACGACCGCAAAAAGATCTCCCGAACCCATCGCAAACAATTCACCAAATAAAACTGCACCCATTGTTTGACGTTGATTGACCGAGTTGAAGTTGCTTCTTTGTTTAAGCCAAATTCTTCCACTTGATTGCAAACAGTTTCCAAAGGGCCACACCCGTATCCTTTCACAGAAGACATGTGAAACCGCTAAACTAAATTAGACCAAGCCAAACTTGACCATATATATAATATATTGTTATAATGTTTCATATGCCATGAGTTCATCCATGATCCTATAGTATCCATACCATTTCTTCAGCGTCGCCGCCCTTGCCGCTCAGCCGCGCATCGGGAGCCCGGTCGGTTCCCAGGAGCAGCTCACGGTCGCCGTCGAGCGGCTCACGGGCGCCGTGGAAATCCTCGGGCGCGGCGGGCGCGGCGCGGTGCGGCGCGAACGCCCAGGTGTGAAGGACGACAGTCGTTCGGCAGGGCAGAAGCATGCTCCATTGCTAATATAGATGGGTTTGTCCTGTTACTTGTAACCGTCAATAAACAATTATCACTATTTCTGCACCAGGCCTAGAAATTATAGGTTATAACCATCATTATCCATTGCTAATAGGATAGCACCCAACCCCCATAAATTTGATGGAAAAACCCGAGGTTTTTGAGAACCTACACCAAGCCTGTGCCCAATTCACCCTCGAGATCGGGGTATGGACCCGTTTTTGTTGCCAAAGGGTCGGATCATTGAACCACGTGCTTGTCCTGGCGCAGCCCGTCACTGTGGCGTTCAGCTTTAGCAGTGCTGAAGTTGGGACAAGAATCCAACCAAATCGAACCCTAAGGTTTGTGAAGTCGAGAGTAACTGCCCACCACCGCAAACGCTGCAGGCGTGCACCGAAGAAGAAGAACTCGTAGCATGGAGTGATTACTTGGGGGGTCGTGCTGTTGACGCGAGGAAGTGGGATGTATCCCTCTCGCATGGATCCTCATTTTTGGAGCCGTGCATGGACGGCTTTCTACTCAGGCACGCGTACTTCGGCTGGGCTTTGGCTTTGACACTTGTACAGGTTGATTCATTTCTGTTCCCCCGAAGATGTTCAACCCAAATGGGTCGTATGAACTAATCCGGAGTCTAGTATACACCGTATCAGTCAGCTTCATGGAAAGTGCCAAAGTTGGGTCTTCGGGGGGCGGAGCGCTCGCTCGGGATCGGGGCGTGGTTCGGATTCGTGTTCGGATCCTGCACCAAGTCGATCAGGAGGGATTCTATGGCTTGCAGCCTTTTCCTTCAACTGGAAAGTCAATTTTGTGGATTTGGGGTGCAGAATTTCGTCCATCAATAGCATGGATTGGTGCAGAATTTTGTCTTGACATGGGGTTGGATTGGTGCAGAATTTTGTCTTGACATGGGGTTGGATTGGTGTGGTGTTTTTTGTCCATCAATAGCAGTGATGGAGGGAGGACGGTTCTTCACAACATGTGACGAACAAAGAGGATCACCATCTGCATGTTTCCAGTGCGTGCCCACAGAGGGGGACTCCGGGGTCGTGTCAAACACGTTTAAACATTAAACCATTTAACCTGTAAACTGTTTAAAGACATTTACAGCGGCTTTGGGGATTGCTTTGTTCTAACATGGTTTGAACAGGCTTCGATGATGATGATGATGATGATGAGGAGGATGGTTTCTATTTGACTACCAACTATAGTACATATAGAGCCATGCAGACATAGACTTTAGTCCATAGACCATATACATACCAATTGTTTAAACATACATGCACTCTTTGGTTTAAACATGGACTTGTTCCAACATATATGCATTTAAACCAGGGCCTTAGTTTAAACAGTTCAAGCCAGGCTGCCCAAGCTTGGGGGACTTTATGGAGTGACCGTGCAGGATGACCTGAGAACATTCTGAATCCAAGGAAGTTGGGCTGGCAGCATGAAACAGCTTGACTGGTGATCGTTGCTTGGGACCTTGGACCAACTTCCACAGATACTGTCCTTCCAGGGTTTCAGAAACCACCCCTGAGACTGTGCAGTACATCTTCAAGGGCTTGTATATACTCTTCCCGTACTCAGCGGATTCATAGACTCAAATGCAAATGGTCCAATGTCGAGGCGGCCTCCCTGCTCCTGCCTTATCGGAGCTCATAAGTGCTGAACCTCAAATACATGTTAGTACCGACTTTTTTCCAAAGCCTTTTGGAGGTCACAGCAGTCACTCCAAGGACCGTGAACGGACTCTACTTGCGACTTCCAGACTTTGGCGGCTCTGCAGCCTACGAGCGTTACCTTCCCGCAGGCTGTGAAGAGAGTGCTTTTTTTTTTGGTGATGTTTGGTGCAACACTGGATGGTCCCTAACAGCGGTTCTGGCGCGGCAGCGGCGTTTCTGCAGCGCCAGGCTCCTCGGAGGCCAGGAGACTTCTCTACTACTCCCAGGACTGACGTACGTCGACCTCTGCCGCGATCGGATTTCGGGTGGTTGAAGAGCTTGGACATCGATGGAGTGCCCCTGGGGGCGTTGGGGATGCAACAGGATCACCCCATCGATGATCTCAGGTGAACGATGTGAACGGAAGCGTGGGAAGCGTCGAGCGAGTGTGGCCACGGGGCTGTGGATAAGACCTAATGGTCTCCTTTAAAGCCAGAGCCCGTGTCACCCTTTGTCCGATTCTAAGTAGGTGACATCTTGGAGCAAGAAACATCGACTCAAGACCTTTTCGGATCCAAACGTTGGAGTCGGCGGACGTTGGAGTCAGATCAACAGTCCTCTTGTCGGATCGTCAGCGGAGGTTGGAGTCGCTGGACCCACTCCATAGGACTGGAATATGCCATTGACCCCCCAAACCACCCCAATGTACTGTACCATGGGCACCACCCCTGGTGCAAAACAAAGGTTTTTTGTTAAACACCTGGTTTTCTTCATGGTTTTGAGAGCTCATGGTAGGCATATAATGGCAGTCCCATTAGTCGTGTTTGGGGGATGTTTGCAGGACTTTCTGATCGAAACGCCCACGTTCGGAAACACCACGTTCGACGACCGCGGTTTCGAGGAGAGAGCACGTTGGAAGATCGCCGAGGCGCGTGGGCGGGCGAGAGCACGTTCTCTTCTCGGCGGGCAGGTGACCTTGTTCCATTTGAGTCAGAACCATTGTTGGCATGGTTTCTGGAGCTATGTTTGGAGGCGTTGGACAGCGATCCCAATGAGCTGTATGTTCAGTACCTAATTGCTGACGGTCTTTGATTTACCACTTCTCGCACATGGTGTGGAAAGGTTGGAACATTATGCAGGTTCTAAAGCACATTGCAGCCTCTAAATGGGATAATCTATGGAGTGAGAGAGGCGGCAAGGTGTCATGATGTCTTAAAAAATGCAACATGTTCCTTTACTGTCTGTCACCTTCATTCTGTCTCACGACATATTCTCATTCTCCACTCACTTCAAGGGCTAGATTCGTTCAAACCTTAAATACTTTTCTCAGTATATCAGCTATACAATTACACGGACTCCGACTCACTGGAAGTGGATGGCATGGTTCCTTGAAAGAAACGAACTGTCCACTGGAAACGCATTTTCCGGTGATCTCCACTTCCATGTCGACCTTAAAATTCGCCGTCGATCGCGCGCGTGCGCCAACATATTCGTCGGCGATCCATCCACGTTCTGGTCGTTGCTCGCTGATCGCGCAGGGCTTAGGCGACCGCAGGAACTTTGCCTTTTTAAAGGTCAAGGACTGGACGAACGCTTTTCGGGGCGACTGGACCTTATGTCAGACCGCCAGCTGGTGGAGCTAGACCTTGCTAGACCTATCCATGGATAGATCAGAACTTGATCCAGACCTATACGCAAGTTAGATCAAGAAAAAGAGCCGCTCCAATCTGGGAGGTGGGTCTTACACTTGTGACGGTAGATCAGATCAAGATGATGTTGAATTGTCTCTCGAGGGCAGTGAGACATGAGGATAGTTGAGGATATTATGTGGGGTTATTGCTGAGGTTCATGTTTGGGTTTTCTTCTCACCTGGGGCCAACTGTGCCATCATGCTTGGTTGGCTTAAGGTTTTGGTGGGGGACCTGGGGAGCATCCAGCATTTGTTCCTTGGTGAAACGGAGAACTCACATGAACATTTCCCACTTATGCTGCAAGATGATGTCAATGTCTAGGTGTTCATCGGGTTCGGTTCAGAGCTTTCACACGCATCCATAATTTATGAACGTAGGCTATCCTACTAGGGTTTCTCAGGCCAGCTGCCAGCCGGTGTAGGGTATTGTTTGGAGACGTTGGTTTTGAACCAGACAAAAACTTGGACAATGTTTCGTGATAGTTGAGTGAGAGATGGTGAGACCTAACTTCGAAAGGTGTGCCATTGTCACGTAGGATGCCGTGACATGACCATCTCACGAATGTCTGCCGCACATGTACTGCACTTGCGCGATTCTGTTGCATGTCACCTGGGGCACACTCTGTCAAGACTTGAGCCGCAATCTCCACGCTGAAAGCATTTGGCCCCAGGCACTTTCCAGCAAACGGAACGCGCTGCTCGCAGCGCCGCAGGATTTCTGCCTCGCCATGGGTGGCTGCTGTGGCAGAACGTTGCCGCCTCATCAGGCAATCATGTACGAGCAAGACAAGCCGCCGGTGGCTGAAGATGGCCACTGTTTCTGGGAGAAGGAAGGACATTGAGAATTTCTACATGTCCTGGCCTTCCACCTTTGAGGCAATTGTTTGGCACAGAGCAACCATTGTTTTACTAAGGATTCCGGACTATAATACCAGGTCAACCATGTTCTTAATGGTCTTGGAAGGCTAGGGAATTCCCACCCTTTACGAAACTGCAGCAAAGGGTGACACCATCCGGTGTTGCAGGTACACTTGGAAGATGACGGTCCCAAAATGGCATCGCGTCAGTGTACCCAAACATACCCCTGCAGGACACCATATTAGTTTGCCTGTGTGTGTTCTAGTGTTAGTGTTATCGTGTTAATTATATAAGCTGTTAGCAGGAGGGCGTCCTCCAATGTGATACCGTTTCTCCGGCGCGCACCCCCAGGTTCACCTGGGTCGCCGAGGTTCAGATGCCGTCGTGTTCTTGGGCGAGTTTAATCGATCCTTCGATCGACGCTTGTGGCTCTACACGAGGTCCTGGGAGCCGCAGGAGCGAGTCGATGGGGTGAGGCGGTCCACCGGTGGGGCGGATCCCAAGAACGGCCGCAGCTGAGCTGGTGCATCGAGCACACACCAAGTCCAGAGCAAAGCGCTTCAGGTTTTGCAGTGCACAGGGTCAAGACATGGCAGGCATGTAAATGAGCCTTTACCCGTTGATCCTGTAGCTTTTGGTTGGGAATTAATCCGTCGCGGCACTATGGGTTCATGGAGGAATGGGAGGCCATTTTGGAGGAATGCGAGGCTGCTGGCTCACCACCAAAAGACCTTGGCTCATTACTTTACCCTTACCCATCTTTGCCCTTACTCCTACTCTTGAAGCGTCCCCGACCTGGAGGACAAGTCAAAAGTGTGGGCAACCATGATGTGCCTCTTCTGAACCAGCGCCAACGAAATAACACAGACTACCAGTTTTTGCGGCCATACGGACTACTGCAAGCAGGTGGTTTATGGAAGTGCTGTGGCGTAGGGGGTTTGCAGGTCATATGGCCACAGACCTCCTGGGTGATTGATCATCCACAGTCACAGTCAGCCAGCAGGTTCCGAATTTACTTTAATTCAGAGGTTAAAGCCTTAAAGCAACTTGTTCTTCAGGCAGCACCCCTTGTTCTTGTGTATGTTCTATCACTTCCAGATATGTCTTTCACTGAACCCAAGAACCGAAACCCACTTCAAAGATGCACCGTACCTCTCCTCCAGTCCGCCAACGGCACGCGTGACACCTTCAACCTTCACACCTTCACTCCCGCCACCCTGGTTGGACCGCGGATCACATCTTCACGGATTCCTCGAACTCTTCGGGATGACCCACCGGGCTCCATGTCCCACCGTGGACCACTCCGCATGAGGATCGTTCATGGCACCGTGGACCACTCCGGCGTCTATGCGGAGCTGGGCGCCGCCTTGGCCCAGCACGGCGTGGCCGTCTTCGCCTCGGACATGCGTGGCTGGGGCCGCAGCGACGGGGAGAGGCTCTACGTGGCGCCTCGGCCGGGGTGGGGGTGATGTTCGACGGAGTGAGCAAGTGCGACTTCAGTAACTACTCATGTTTGGCAATTGTTCCAGGATAGTCCGGAAAAACATAGGTTTTCCAGGGGTCTCGTCCTTGTGATGTCAAGCAGCGGGTCAAGGATAGCATCGACTCCTTTGCGGGCGATATCCTGGCAGATTATCACCGCATCCATGGTCCCGGGGCCTCCTATGCACACGTGAGGCGGTCTCCGCGTGTGCGGGAGCGCGGGAGCACGACCGCCTTCTTCCACCCGCTCTGGTCGGGTTGAAGAAAGGAGAATGACCCGAAAGTAGGTGGCAGTCCGCCAGCATTCCGCCAGCCCCAGATGTCCGATCGCCTTTTTAGGACAGGTTCACTTTGTTTTCAGTCATTGTTCGGCCAGTGAACATTGAAGAAGGCCCTCAGAAGCAGTTTGCAAATGACATGCGGCATGACTCTATGAACGCTTCTTTTAATGTGTCTTCTTGCGATCTTTCTCTCAGACCGGAGATCCATCCGTCAGCCTCTGAACCGTGTGAAGACCACTGGTGGGGAAAGCCATGAGTTATTTACCGCCTCAACATGCTTTTACGATCATCATTGATTCGCAGGACAAACATGGAAACAGAAAACAAATCATGCAAAAGCCAACTGGTTGCTTGGCCTGGTGCTGCCCTGCAGGTCTCGCTTTTTGCTGGGCAAGAGCATCGGAGGCCTTTTCACCGCCTGGACGGCCGCCATGCCCTCGGCACGCCAGACGCTGGGCCGAGTCGGCGTGGAGTTCGCGGGGGGATCGGGACCGCTGTAGCGTTGGTACTGGGAGACACCTAAAAGACCTGCAGGGCACGGCTTGGACAAAAGTGGCAGACGACGGGGGTTTCTATAAAAGTATAGTGAAACACAGTGAAATCCATGTGAAAGCTGTTGGACGTGTGAGGGTTCTTTCTATCATTGTCGGGGGAATTTGAACAATTCAGTATTTTTGGGGCGGAATCCAGATTTTGAGGAGCGCGGAGTATCATGAGTACTGCATTACCCATCATTACCCCACTCCAACCAGTTTCAAGCGCAAGCAGCGCAAGAGACCCTTTCAACGTTATAATGGTTAACGTTTGGGGCGTCAGACCAGTCCAGAGTTCCTCAAAGCCATCGCATAGTGCAGATCAGAAAGCCCAAGAGTCTGGAAGCCACTCAGTCTCGACTGAGATCTCTTGGGTTCTTAGCCTTCTAAGCCAGTCTGGTGCACATGGTGCGGAAGCCAACCTCGAGGTGCCTGGAAGCGGACGTCTCCCAAAACTCACCACAACGCCTTCTTAGGCTTTGGACTGGTCTCATTGGCCTCTCCGGAGCTTTCCAAATCGACTCCGCGGTGAAGCCATCGCTGCTGCGACAGCTGCTGCTGCCGTTGTTGGGGCTCTTGGTGCCCAAGCGGCCCCTGAAGCCACCTTTCGATCCCAAGCTGATCCTCGGTTCGTTTTGGGGGCCTCAGGATGCCACAGGCACAAGTTCCCAATCAGACTGTTTGTTTGCAAAATCTGTATGCATGAAGGTCATCTAGCTGGGTATTGATCCTTCAATTTAATTCTGTTGAATGAGTTTGTTTGGTTTTTGTGGACATCGAGGAGGCCCACAGATGGGGTCAAAAGCCAAGACCGCCCAGCAGTTCCTTCCATTGGAGTTTTGACTTCCGAACGAGGAAGTCGGGGGTGCCCGAACGTCACATCTACTGGATGTGACATGATCATACATGATCATGATGGAACTGAAAAAGGCACCCCAACATGGAACTCTGTAGACTGTAGAGCTAAGATGAGCTAAGAAATGGCTCCCAAAGCATCCAACAGCCGAGCTACGCCGAGCCTCAGGATCGTCAGCGACGCCGCGGCTCTGAAGGCATGGGAGGCGACCTGGGCAAAGTCACCGAGCTCTCTTCACAAACAACACACCTTGCCGCGACGTTAGGAAAGAAACGCCTGTGACATAATATTATAGAATATAGAACAACAGTCACATGCACAGTCACCCATTTGGGGGTTTAGCTTGTGCAGCTTGTGGTCGAAAACTCATCTAGATGAAGCAACAGTTTCAAAGATCACATCTCCCCTTTTTTCCGCAGAAATTGAGGTTTATGATTCATGATGGTCTAAGTTTGCAGTAAGGCAGCTGTTTCGTTTCGTGAGGATTTCGGTCGGTGGGCTGCCGCTGCCGTTGAGTTTGCCAGGAAGATCCTCTGGTCAGTCGAGGTAAGCTCACTCCTGGCTACATCCTTGAGATGTTGAGGTTGCAAGATGAATTGCCAACGCACTTGAATGGCCTCACTTTGCCCGTCACTTGGCGGGATTTGCTCTTGGGGTGCTTTGAGTTGGTCCATCCGACGGGCGGGCTCCAAACACAGACTGGTTCCAAGCACAATGAGCTGAAAGAGTCAGGGGGATCTCCTCTATGTCACAGTACTTGGAAGGAGGTCCACAAGACAGAACTTTCAAGATATCCTCAACTTTCCATGGGTTTTCCCACTCACTGCAAACAAGTGCCATTAATCTGGATGAGTGATGCAAAATTTTCTAGATATTTCCTTCCCACTTTCTCTACCTCTCACCGGCCAATCACTCTCACCCGATGAGCCCCAGGTCTTGATGCTCTGGGGCACCGGGGACCAGGTCGTGACCGAGGCCGGCCATGAGCTTCTCATGGCCTCCACGCAGTCGGAGCATTCGCAGTTCGTGGCCGGGCGCGAAGTTCGGGTGGTCGGCAGTCCTGGGCGATGGAGAGGAAGGTCACCAGCCTTGTCATCTTTGGGATCCTGGGTTCGTTTCGCTCTTTCTTCACGTGAAACTGAAACAAACAACAGCAAATCAGTCCAAAGCACACAGATTCACCACTTAGATTGATGGCGCGTGTCTTTGATCTTCGAATATTTTCTATATTGTTATTCATAACATAATTAATAGATCATAATAGTAATTAATTGATTTGGCTCTTGAGCTGAATCCTACCGACCGAGCGAAAAGGAATGAAGGAAGAGGCTGAAATGAACTTAGGTGTTCGTCATATCCCCACCTCATTCACCTTGGTATACCTTTTTTGGGACTAGCATTCCAAGCTTTCATTCTCCCCCCGATGAACCACCTACAAATCTAAAACCAATATAGAGCCCAAGATGAGCCAAGATTCCTTTGGGATCTTTGGGGACATCTAAAAATCGGCAATGATGCGGACCCTGTGCCACGCTCCGCCTCCGACTCAGGTGCGTTATCCGGATGGCTTTCACAATTTGTTGGCGGAACCCAAATTGAAAGACAACGTGATGAAGGACATCGCCAGCTGGATTCGCAAAGTGGCCAAGTAGACTTAACGCATTCGGTGCTGGAGCTCCTCAGAGGAGTTGGGATCGAGCAGTCGAGTGGAGCAGCGTGTGAGGCAAGTCCAGGATGCCTGGCTAGGAGTTTCGGAGTGTTATTTGTGGTGCTTCGCCTCAAGAATGTTCAATGCAGTCAATTGAGACTTGTATGACTTGGTGGCTTTGAGTCTGTTTTGATGGAAGATATTTGGAACTATTTAGGTCAGATCCTGATCATCCTGAAGTAGATTCCAGTAATTTGGAGGCGAAGTTTGCACTACAATAGCTTCCCTGCAGAGGGCTACAGCACGTGCTGCATGTGCTGCGCAAGTGCTCGCCACACCCATTGCAAGCCACTCTGTTGACCTGCTCAACCAGTTTGTGGAGCTGGGTGTCTTTTCACTGTACAGCAAAGTTGCTGGAGCAAGCGTATGGTCCGTGCACACGTCTTGGAGCGACCAAAACCGGCCAGCGCCAACGGGGTTCTACAGCGGAGGAGCCTGTCGGTGAGTCCCAGTGCGTTGTTGATCAAGTTTGTTCGTTCATTCGACCACACCAGTGCAAGACGAGGGCATACTTGCCTTCTGAGAAAGTAAGTCAGCCATTTCTCAGTCAACCGGCTTGACATGACGTGTTTCAGAGGCGAATCGCGCGAAGGGCTTGACACCGTTGCTGGTTTGTCACGTAGGGCTTGGAAGACTAAGGTTCCAAACGGGCCGCCCAGCCCAGTTCGAGCTGAAAACACCAATGGGGCACTGGAAGACGTTTTGGACTGCCTGGCTGAATAGCCCTCAGTAGGACCGTAGGAGGCCCGAACCTTCCAACACTTCACGCGTTTCGTGGGAAGAGAACCGGTCCTTTGACCACATCTCCCCAGTCTGTCATTTGAGAAGGCTATTCGGTTGATTCACAGCCTACCATGTGCAGAGTCCTGAGCCTTGCACAACCCATACTTTTGGTGATTGTATCGTGTTTGTATCCATGTTTTCTTCCGCCAATGGCTTTGCAACAGGGAACACCACGCACCAAATGGGTCTCGTGGTCGATGGGGTCGTGTCCTTCCAGGACGGTGGCCAACGACCTCCCTCAGAAGCTCCGCACGGGACCCACGAGTCCGGCGACATGGGGCGACACGTGCGGTGTGCTTGGCATGGCAATTCCACTGGCCTTCTGGACAAGACCCTTGTCAGACCCAGACTTGGATCTAGCAGCTGGTTTTTGGTTCAACCAGCCAAGCGTTTCGGAAGCCAGAGGAAGTGTTCCTGTTAAATAGAACCTTCCAGAAGGCCGGCACTCCCACTCACGAGAAAAGTGGAAGACATTGAAGGTGGGTTTCCACTCGCAGACTGGCCGAGCTACACGGGCTTTCCTCTCACCTCAGCCCTCCGGAGCTTCACTTGATCATCTTTATCGCACCACTTATACCACCTCCAGTGGATCAAGAAGTGCAGGAGCCATAGAGCCATACAGCAGCTTTCCACGCGCAAGCTGCGTGTGTTGTTACTTCGGCGTTGAAGACCCGTTGGACGCTCCCAACCACCGTTGCTGCAAGGGCTGATTGACGGTGAGCACTTGAGGTGGATGAGATCCTGCATGATCGGCCTGTCACAGGTATGGCATGCACATCTGATCAACAGAAGTATGCATGAAATCCAGAAGGGGGGTGACGCGGTGAAACTGTTTCATGAAGGAAGCTGGAAGCAGATGCCAAAGGGAGAAGAATCGACAATGCTGGGTGCAGAATCCAGATGAATCAAGCATCGCGCTAGAACGGCTGAACCCCCCCTTGTTGGAGTCCTATAAGCCTATATAGTCTAGTCACTAGTCCTATCCCATTCGGATGGCATTTTCCCATTTCATCAGCCCGACGTTTTGCTCATCTTCAATTCCTCGGGTCGACCTCCCTAGGAAAGAAGAGCAGTGGACCTTCTTCGAGGGTAAAGAACTCGGATGGCAGCAGGACCCGGACTTCGTTTCTGCGGTGGGCGTGTGTCTATCGCGAGGGCATGCGGCTTTCTTGGGGTTGGCATTTGTAAGACACAGTGAGGTGCTTAGAAACCTCATGATTCATATGAATGCACGACCAGAAGGAACCGGCTATATAATCTAAAAGGAGGATCCTCCTCAAGAGGAATTTCGCGAACAACTGCAAGGAAAGGTCCGTCCCCTGAAGTCAATGTGGCTCCAAATTGCTGGGTCACCACGCCCACTGGATCTGGAGGCAGGAGCCCAGAGACCAAATCTAAAGCTCTTCATGAGGTGGGATCAAAATATGCACTTCTAGCTCTCTGCATGCCATCCTGATTGGAGGGGGCATTTGCTGCATGTGTCCACCAATTTGACACACGTGTTGTCCAATGAGTCTCACTCAATGGGCAAACTGCCAAAGGCATGAGCCAACAATGAACCGAAAGGTATTTAGGGGGAGAAGAAAGGGAACAATTGAACATTTATCATAATTGGTTAGTTAAGACTGAAGATTCAAGTGGATGAAGAAAGGGAAACGCGGCGATTTGTATTGCAGATCCTTTTTAGGGAAGAAGGTGGACCTTTCCATAGGCAGTTAGCATTGCAAGAACCAATTGGGGGAGTTGCTTTGAGTTGACATTGAACCATTTTGCTTGATCACGTCTTAGCTGGAAGTGGCTTGTAAAAGCCCTGGCAGGCTCTCTCCAATGGTAGCCTGGCAGACTCTGCAAAGGTCACACCCAGCGAAGAATCTGGACCCTAGGTTTCTCAAACATTATACAGTATAAGTTACAGTATAGATGATTGCATTGTCAGTGCCCAAAGGATCTTTCTAGTGCTGGAATTTGGTAGTTTTGTAATTAATTGCAGCTTATGATTTTCAGTATAGCACTATGCTCCAGCTGCTGAGCAAAGTGGATCCGGTATATATACAGGTTTCATGGGGGTGGAATGTTGTGGTGTACGTGTCTCAAAAACTGCTCAGAAGTGTACCACCCTGAATCTCCACTCTGTCATACCTACTTGGAACAAGAAGCTATAAGAAGCTACTAGGGGCTCCTGGCCTTACTACAAGGAGCATAGACGCTACTAGGGGCTCCTGGCCTCGCTACTAGGAACAAGGACGCTACTACGTGCTTGTACAAGCGTTTGGCCAAACGCTTTCGCTCGAGGACCCGGACGTGAAGTGCGTGCAGTATGTGAAGCACGATCGCCCCGCGCCACCCAAGGCGATCGTGCTGGTGAGACCCGGAAGAGAACTATCGAAAGAAGTTGGCAGTTACTAGTAGCGATGGCCTCCAACCTACTTGCAATGGCCTCCACCTAATGGCATACTTGCTACTAGGAGGTGTACATGCCAGAGAACCCCTTGTGAGTCTTGAACGATTGGTCAATCTTTTGCCTGCATGACTCTTAAAGATCTTAAAGTTGAAGCATTCGATGTTTAGTCGCGTTGTTTTTGTCGTTTCTATCACTGTACATGCTTGGATGTGGTGTACATTCTCAACACCTAGCGGATCACCAGTTCTCCCCTGCGGCTCCGCCGCTGCGAAAAAGGGGGTTTCCCCCCCCCGTAGTAGTAAGGTCAGTCCCATGTTCGTCGTGCACACGAAGCACCTGAACTCGTCAAAAACCCAAGAAACTTTGGCCGATCTTCTCAGTCTGAGACAGACCTTCAGACCCACCAGAGGGGTTCAACATCTTCAGACCTGGTGTCCACCAACTCGACCACCGATCTCGACCTGTCAGGCTAAAGCTGAAGCGGCGCCATGGCGTGAGACGGGCCGTTTCCCGGGGCTGTGAAAGGACGAAGGAACCCGACACGGCGCCAAGCGCTGCGCCAAGCGCGGCGCGTCCCGGCGCGTCCAGGTGACGTCCGGAGACGTATTAGCGAGCGAAAGTCCATGGCATGGAAGAGGAGTATTGGTATTGATCGTCATACATATCGTCCAAGCATCGAACATGGACTGCTGTCTCTATGGGACCTCACTTCAACCACAGCTATAGCAGCGATAGTCATGAGGTCGCAAGTCTACTTGGTGAGCTTGCAGCTAGTAAAGAGCTGCAGGCAGGAGGCTTGCAATGTTTGCACGACTTTTCTGTTCTATTTGGTGAGCTTTGTGGGATGGTGAGTCTTTGTTGCTGGCCAGCTGGCCAGCTGTGTTTTCTGTTGCCGGTCAGTCATTATGACGACCGTTTCTTAAACTTATTGCGAACATGATGAAAAATGAATATATATGTAAAGAACAGTGGTAGAACAATGATACAAAATCAACCTTCAAAATAACACATTAATTAGATGTTGTATGTTGTTCTTTCCTGAAGTTTCCAAGGGGTGCTTGATGGAGGTTAGGGGTACCCATTACCCACTCACTTAGGGACTAAACACCACCCCTTTGTGACCCCTGGTTAATAGTTATTCATTTGTTATATGGTTTTTATGTTTCCCTCTTTGGTGAGGCTGTCAGCTCCGACTCGGCTCGGGCCCCTGGAGCTGGGAATCCGTGGGTTTTCTGGTGGGTCCCCACCTGTAAAGCGATACAGGGAACCCCCGAAAGCGATACCTTCAGAATGTACACTTCAATCATCTTCAATCATTTTCTTCAATCATTTGATGTGTATTTTCGTTTGACCTGAAGCGATACCAAAGCGATACCCCTGGATGATCAAAATGTGGTTTAGATGAGCGGATCCCTTTTCATTCATGTTCACAGTGACCGTGGAGTTTGACACAGATGAAAAGCTCTAGGACAAGAACCGCAAGTGTCAATGGAAAACTCTCTCTCTCTCTCTCTTTCTTTCTTTCTTGGCTATGTTTTCAAGAGAAATCCTCAAGAAATATCACAAAGGCATCCGACACTGTAAAGCGATATAGCGAACCCCCCAAAGCAATACCAACATATTATGGAGTGTACCAAATTTTATGAACGGTTTTGGCGATATACTAAAAATAATTTTCTAACTGCTAGCCTGCTATGATATGTTGTTTCATGTTTCGAGCAGTTCGCATTTCTTCGGTTATGGGAGCAGAGCTCACGGTCATGGTCCCGACCCAGTATGATGCAAGAAAGTCCATCGGGTCATCGGGTGTTTTTGTGTTTAATGTGTGTCGCTGTGTGTGTGTGTGTGTCGCCGTCTTTAGAGGAGTGACACGAGTGGAGTGATATAAGAAAAAGGTGACCGGTTGGCGTCACTTGGGGACCAGTTGGCCATTCTCGTCGTAGAGTAATCCCACGACAGCTGAGTTATTACACCGATTACACCAGCTAACTCCTGCATTGGCGGCAGGGGTGGTTGATGGAACCTCCGGCCTTACCACTGTGATATGTTCGAAACTGTTTTTCGAACAGATCAGACTAGTAGGGCAGCATCCCTTGAAAATCATCCTGGATGGGTTTCATTAGGTAGCGTCCTTGCTCCTAGTAGCGATGCCCTTTGTTACCAAAGTAGCTGCTTACGTACTACATGTGACTACTATAGTAATGCCAGGGTCCGAACGCTCCGAACCGTCGCGGTCCGAACCGGCAGTCACCGGCGCTTATCGACGCGCATCGAGGAGGGCAGCAGTTCCAGCGACAGTGAGGTTGGACCTGGGCCGACAGTGAGGAGGGCTCTCACGGTTGGACGTGGGTCCGAGAAGGCTTCGTTCGTGTGCCACGAGTGACGGACAGGTACTGTTTGTGTTTTTTTTGGGGGGGTTAATGTCCTATATGTTTTTAAAGGTTCCGGGTTCTCTAGGTTGTTTAAAGTGATCACTTGAAGATGTGTTGGTAACACCACCATGCACGGCACAAGAACAGCCAGCCCCCCAAACACTTTGGGTTCAAATCCTTGGCCTTGTCATGCCCAGATGATTTGGTCAAACTCTTCGAGCCACTGGCAAAAGGCTTCTTCCTCTACGGCACTGAACGGAGCGCAGTGGAGGAGTCAACCACGGAGACGCAAAATCTCATGGAACGGTGAGAAGAAAGGTTCCATGCAACAGACAACATGTTGGGCACACGGGGGGGCAAACCCCCCGACAGGCCAAGGTCCAACAGGGCCAGAAAAGCCATGCGTTTTACGTGCATGTTGGTGTTTTTGCACCGGCCCGTTGACCCGTTGACCCAACATGTTGTGTTTTTGTTGATCCAACTTCCGGCTGTCTGAAGCAGACCCTCTGAGCGTCTCCAACCCCTATGATCAACATGGTTGTTTCTTCATGTGTGTTGCTGCCGATTAGTACCAAGCACATCGTTTTGCCACAAGGTTTGCTTCTCCAGCTAGACCGGTCAAATCAGAGAGTGCCCTAATCACTGAAACAATCGAATCGAAACAGAAGACCTCCAATGCCCATAGGTGGACACCTGTCCACTATTCAAGTCTAGTCTACAGTGGCAGTGGTGAAAAGGTACCGACAACTTGATTACAAGCTATACTTCTCATTCTCTCAAAAGCCCCAACGTTTGCCACAAAGTGGTGCGGGACTTTTCCCTTCACTACTCTTAGTTGTTTTTTTTTGCTTTCTGGGTGGCACGGCTGTGGGCTGGGGCCTTACTTTTGGCGACGCACGCGGGGGATGGCCACGAAGCCCCTCCCTAGCCCTTTGCCAGGGCGAAAGCAGTGCTTCCAGCAGCGCTTCCGGCTCTTCCCCAGGTTCAGCAGGACTGTGTTGAGGATGGTGGATGGATGTCATAGGCATAGGGTTTGATGCGACATGATGCGATGGTTTGATGACCTATTGGCGATGTTTGGGGGAGCGAAGAGCGCCGAAACCCCAAGTGACTTGACCAACTGCTGGGTGCACACGGTCCCACAGTTTGCCACCTGCTCCCCCATTTTCAGATTGAACATGGCGCAGAGCAAGAGTTCTAAAAGATGCCAAGACAAACAGGGCTTTTCCGGGCATTTGCTCGCTTGCTCGCTTGCTCGGCTAATCTCGTGGAGAGGGCGATGGGGAGAAGAGAGAGAGAGAGAGTTTTCCATTGACACTTGCGGTTCTTGTCCTAGAGCTTTTCATCTGTGTCAAACTAAATAGCCAAGACACACTCTGTCGCTGGCAGTCACTCCACCAAGCCCGGCTTTGCCCCGCAGGGCCGGCCGTCGCAAAGCCGGAGCTGAGCGCGGCAAGCAAAGGCGCGGAGGGGTGGGACCGGGTGGGGCCGGGTGGGGGGGGGTCTTCCGGACCAGCAAGAAGACATAGTTATTGTGGAACTGTGCGCGATCATGCCGGTTTCTTTGCTGTGGCAAATTGTAGCAAGTATCTCAGGTATATCCAGGTGTTTGTCATGTTTTCCACGATGTACGACTTGTTATTTTATAGTGTTGTCATTGATGGAACAGCCTAGGAATCAAGGCACTGCAAGAACCAAAGGAGACAGGTCACATCATTTCATGGTAAGGACGAACCTGTGTGTTCACACACGAAAATCACAGAGATGCACACCCATGTCGCACAATCGTAGCAGTATGTTTCTTGTTTGGTGCGTCAAAAAAAAACAATCACTTGCACTGCTGCAGTGATCGTCTCATTTGCAGCTTCCAACCTGCAAGCTGTGGGCTTTGTTGTTTTGTTGGGGCAGAGGCAGCCGTGCACGTGCCTGCGCGAAGATGATGGTACGCCCGGCGGCCTAGGCAGTGAGGATGGCTATGGTGCCGTGATTCTTTCAAGAAACATGAGCAGAACCTGCCTCCTTTGGATAAAGGGAATGGGCAGGGATGTGAAATGAACAATATGTATGTACAGAGAGCCCAAATCCTCCTCAAAATCCATTTTCATATTTTTCACGGCCCAGAGTGCCTGAGTCTGAGTGCTATTATATTTGTTATCATCCTATAGCCTAGCTAGCCTATTGATCCCTATCAGCTTTCTCCTACCGCTCATCCGACCGACTCAGCCCCGTTTGAACTCACCCGACCTCCGTGCGAGACCCGCACGCCCAGGAGCGGGTCTCCGCTGCGGTTGCCACTTCGAGACGCAGTGCCCCGAGCGCTCGCGTGGCCACCGTGGCCAGGGGGGCTCAGAACACGCACGACGGGTGCTGCCGGGTGAGGTGAAGAGGCGAAAATGGATGGAAATGGTCGTTGCTGAGCTGAGGTGGTGGGAAATGGGCCCTGAACGATGGGAAATATATACCTGCTCAATCGTCCCCAAAAGGAGGATCAGGTTTTGTTTTTCAGCAGGTCCTGCGTAACCTATTCCCGCAGGTGAGGTTCAAGTAGCAGGTTGGAGTTCCGCACATTGACCATGAAGGTTTTACCTTTATCAGACAGTGTTGACTTTGTTCTTCTCAGCAGGTCACACACACATACCACAGGTTTGACAAGTGACTGCTTTTCTCAGAGAAGGAGAAGGACTCGGCCTCAATCTCTATATACATTCATGTCGGAAGACGTTGATATGAAAGGCAACGGAACAGAACACCCATGCATGGCTCATACTAAGATTGAAGGTGTTCTGGGTCTCCCCGATCACTTTTGCAGCCCTCGCCTTTATCCACCACCACCTTGTGCTAGCCATCGTCAGCTCAAGGTCCTCCAGTGGCCACTCCAACATGATGGCCAGCGAAAGCCCGTCGAGGTCCACGACGAGTGAAGAAGACATTAGAAGACATTCCACTGCGTTGAACCTCAACCCTCATGAAGACTCTCATGTCCACTGCGTTGTCATCAAAAGACAAAAGAGAAGGATGCTTCAAGATATTTCATGTTCATGTTTTCGTTCCACAGAGGTCCCGTCAACTTACCTAGATCATATAAGATCTGGTTGATTGGTGGCGGTTCCAACGGTGAAGAGGTAGGATCAGGTACTGTAGGTAGGTGATTGTTGGCCAGTTCTTGGTTAGGTAGGTTATGGTAGGTAGGTAGGTAGGTAGCTATTTGTTACGGACTTTCTCTCAACTGAACTTCCCGGTCGCCCCGACCTCTCGCTGTTGCTTGAGCCCGACCTGCGGCGCGCGACGTGCGGCCGCAGTGTTCGTGTGTGACCACGCGTGGTGCTGGTGCTGTGACCTTGCGAACTAGCCTCTAGCCATCGTAGCCAACTGCATGTGTCAAACATCCACTAAACAGTTTTTGGAGGACAGTTGCTCACAGAATCTGTAGACCGCTTTTCTGGTGACACTGGTGTTTGTGGTTTGAGAAACGAACAGTGAGATGATGTGCGATGTGAGGTGCGAGCTGACCTGGAAATGTGCTTGACTTCCCAGACAAAGAGTTCAAAACAAAACCCAGACCAACTGAAATTGAGGAATGCATGATGTTCATGTCCCACGGCGTTGCCAGTTGCTGGAGATGTGCACACACACACACACTGTCTCATTTTATGGAGTTGGCCATATCTACAAGGGCGCCATGGCTTCTGTTCGGGGTCCGACCTCAAGCGCGGACCCCATGGGTTCGAGTACCCACATTCATGCCCCAACACATGGTCTTCGGTTGAAAGGTGTTGATGCTGTATTGGCTTCAAGCCATAGGCACTCACAGCCAGCGCAGTGTGAAACACCCCCTGCGCGGGGGTGGTTGAGATAGCTTGAGCAGCCGGGGTGGCGCAGCGGAGCAGATCAACATGAGAAAAAACAACTCTACGATCCACACGGCGCCTACGAGGTCCGCTGGAACCTTTCCGAAAGGGCTTTGTTATATAAGGTCTTGCGTTTTGGTTTGTTCCATTTCGTTCCCTATAAGCACTGTCTCAGACTTGGGTTTGAAGGGGACATACTCTTGGAGAGCTTCCACACATGTCAACACCATTCAACACCTTTATTTGGTTCTTAGAAGATGTTCCCTTCAAAGGTGTTGAATGGTGTTGCGCCACAAATCCAACATGGATGTTCCCTTCAACATGGATGTTCCCTTCAACATCCTTCAACAAATCCATGTTGCGCCACCCCGGAAACCGGGCATCGACCCTTTGCCAAAATCGGCGCCGCCTTTCGACGAAAAAAATACGAAAATCGGCGCCCCGCGCGACGGGCACGTGCGGTGCTGGGCCCCGCGTTCGGACGTAGCGGGTTTTTGTAGATACAAACGGGAACTTCTACTTACTGTAATTCTATTCATAAGTGGGTGTCTTCCAAATAGGAACTGGGTGTCAGAATAGCCAGGTTCCAGTTTCTATTTGGGATGTCTCCCACTTATAGACGTTCCTAAACATGGACTGTGAATCATCTTGAGGCAAATCCAACCCCTGCCGTTTTCCAGGCTTTGTGGGAAGACGCGTTTGCGGTTGCGGTGCAGGAACCGAAGTGGGCTTCACCATGGTCCCATCGAATGAAGAGAATGGTCGGTCAAAGATCACCGGTGTTTTGCTACAAGTAATAGATGCACCAGTTCTTTTTCCAGCGCGATTGACCCATTTTCTTCCAGGTCCACACACCAGTTTTAGATTTAAAGGGCTATCATCAATTCGACGTGTCCGGGTATGCCTGGCATGTCTCGTTTGCTTGGCTCAGCATTAGTTGTAGGCGCCGTGTTCTTGGCGGCGGCTGAGCATCGCTCGACGGTGGAGCCTGGCTGAGAAATGGGCTTGGCACCCCAGCGGAAGTTTGGGCACGCTGCCTCACAAATGGTGCCATGTGTGGCCACTAAGTATAGAAATGGCCTCAGTTCGATAGGATTTTCGCGAATAAAGACCTTCGTCAAACCTTCAGCGCACTATCCAACCACCATCTATAATATAGTTCTCAACAACAAGACACAAGAGCCTGCGGGCCTGCTGGTTCTGTGGATGTCTCACGTGGATGATGTTGGGCCTTGATCACTTTCACTTTCGTCAACCTTCTCTACTTATTCCAGATCTATATGAAGAACCTATAAAAGAACAAAACAGGCTATATATGAGTCATTATATATATGAGGCAATACTTCCAGGAACACTTTTTCTGCTCCCGGGCTGGCTGAGCAGGGCACCGGCCGTTTTGGCCTTCAGCGGCTCCTCGACGGCTCTCGCTGCTCTCGCCTGAGGTTCAGACGAAAGGCCCCGGAAGAAGGCCAAGGTGATCGTGGCACCGGCCGAGGCGAGGCTATTTAGGTAGGAGCTTGTCATCTTCTTTGTCGCATCGGCACACATCATTTTGTGATTGGGAGATCTCATGCATAGATTGAGGATCATGCGCGGAATTAATGGAGAAAACCTATAGAGCCTAGGCATCGCGACTAGTAACAAGTGCATCGCTACTAGTAGCAAGAAGCCATAAGAAGCCAGCACTTAAAAGAGTTTTGTCAGGAATTTCTTGTTCTCAACTCACACCGGAGCTGGAGCCTGGCGGAGGTGGAGCAAACTCATGGGGTCATAGGGTGATATAGGGTGTATGTTGCTCCAGTCCTTGGAAGGTCTCCCGTTAGAGAGGCATACCGATGTCGCCGATGTCCCATCACCCTCCCAGGATGAAGGTTTAGGAGGGTCCGGCCCTCAGTTCGTACAGTAGCGAGCTTGGTCGCTGCTTCGTTGCGGTTCACTGTGTTGGTCCTTGGCCCAGGTCTTGAAATCTGTGGGGGGAGGGTGAGGGGTGCCCAGTCTCCGGTCCAAGAACAACTCTTTGGAATGCCTCACAGTTTCTGTTTCTCAGTTTGGGTTTGGGTGCTCCCTGGGAGTAGATGAAATTCCTACCCGGGCAGTGAGTGACACGAGAGCTAGCAGGCCGTTGCTTTTTCCAGAACCTTTGAGGGGAGTGCTACGTACCATTTGTCGTCTAATGAGCAACTTGGTTGCCTTTCAGAACTTGACTGGAAGGAAAACGCAGCTCGCCTGCTTAAAGTAGCGCCTGGATTCTCATGCCAACTCCCTCACAACAATGTTGGGGCTTTGGACAATGTGGATTGTTGTTCAGGAAACTTCAAGTGTTTTAGTTTTATGTTTCTATTCGACTCACTAGGCACCGGCGACGTGGCGATCTCGCGCCAAGTGCCTGTGATTTGGGCGGAGGACGGTCCCCTCACGGCCCGCGTCGGAGGCGCACAAGGGCTGTTCCAGCTGAGGCTTTATGACTTCCTACCGCCGCCCGATCCTGAGAAGGACGAGGCAGCGAAGGCCCGATCCGAAGGGACGAAGATGAGCGGAGGGAGAGATGAGCGGATGGGTGGGGCCGCATGACCTCCACAGACTGACAGGTCGGCCAAAAGTGGCGGCGAAGGGCAAAATCAACTGACATGTCAGCGAAACGTCAGCAACATAGATGGCATACAGAAGGCCATGAGGTAGAAGAAACAGCATTCATGTTCTGCACGTTCTGGAGCTCTAATAGCGTCCCGGCTTTGACTCGGGACGTTTTGGGTGGGAAAGGGTCACTGAGCTTTGTTCACCGCGCCCAGGCTGCAGCCGTGGGACACTGAGCCGAGTTGTTTTGTCGAAGGGTCACCGGTCCATCGGTTGACAGGTCCAACTCCACCAGCACCACGGAGTGGTCGAGGTCATTCGGGGTGTCCATGCACCACCCTGACTGGGGGTCCAGATGGGTCCCAGGAATCTATAGGCACGAAACCATGTGAGTTCGGGTCAGTTGTTTGTTTCCACCCGGACTGTTTCCGAGCTGACTCCACTCGCGTGGCCGGCCTTGGGTGTTCGATTTGGCAAGTGCTCAGCCTTGAGAATGCGGAGTCAAGCCGAATCAAACCGAGTCCAAACGCCGGCGCGATCTATAGATAAGTGTCATTTTTGGTATCTTATTGACATGTGGCACATATGCACAAGCCCAGTTGCCCCACTTCTGCCTGCCAAAGTCCTTGAGGGGCAAAACCGGCCCATCACGAGACTATGAAGGGGAGCCTCAAGCTCCGCCAGGAATCCCAACAGAAACTCTCAAGAAGCACCAATGTTTACCCATGTTTACCCTAATGGTGAATGTGGTCTGCACACGTAACATCTGCAGTGTTTCATGCTGGATCTCATGCCCATGCCACCAACGGATCAGTTAAGCCATTAAGAAACACCACGGAGAGAGACAGCGCGGGCGGCCGGGAGGCGGCTTTCGCTCGGCTCTTCGTCAGGTGAAGCACCACCTCTCACGACCTGCCCTTCCCCAGCCCGACCGGAGCAGGCAGATGGGCAGGACCACGATTGGGTGTGAAGCGAGCACTTGCGGATGAGCATATCAGGTCACATATATGGTCACATTGTATAAATTTAAATGCTCAATTCAAGCCGGAAGAACTGTAAAATCTGATTCTACCTGTTTTTTTTTCCTGCGGTTGATTCTATAGTAGGTTTTGTTGAAATTCTGGAAGTGTTTGAGGCTGTTGCTATACACTATAATTAGCTGTTCTTCTGCCAGAGAATCTATCTATGTTTATTTGTGTTTTTTGCTGGGCTGGCTTCTCCTTCGCCTTTCTTTTTTCCGCCGCGAAGCGTCGCGGAACGCGCGCCGCTGGCGCTTTCCGGAAAGCGCCAGGGTGATCTTTTTAGACGTGGATGGGGTCATCCTACCCGCAGGTGCCGGAAAAACACCGCCGCCGTTGGTTCGATCGCGCGCGAACTGGATGGCGCTTTTTCCAGGAGACGTAGAGATCTATACATGATTTGATGAGATAGCCGATGGAATTCTCCAGGAATTGTCCGATGCACATGCTTGACATGAGTTGGAGGGGCTGGGATGTAGTCACAGTATGTGATAGTCTGACAGTCAGCTGTAGGAATCATGTTGCACAATTCTACTAGAGGTGTATTTTGTGCGTTGTTTTTCGTGGTGATTGGATGTTTGCTGGAGATCTCAGCAGGAATGGAACTTCCTGTGTTCAAGCCATGTTTATCATCTCAAAGGCCCCATTGCACAGACATGTGGTAGGTGCCACACCCCCCTGCTACTGATGCTACACATGTTGGCAATTGTTGGCACATATAATGAGAATCTAGCTGTTGATATCTTCGGCTGTAATTATTTGAAATATGTTGAAAGTATAAACATCAGCTCCCCCTGCCTTTCCGTATCGAGAATCTTCACCCGATTTCATTTGTGCAGTCCGTCATGAACCATTCCTTATATAACCCCACATGCTGGGGGAATCCCAGAAGACCATGAGCTGAAGGATCACATATGATCACATGACTGCCACCCACGGTATCCCAGGAAATGCTCGAAACGAGCCACGCAACCCGCCGTCTCGTGGATTCATCGGCGCGCGCGCGCGATGTCAGTGCGGTCCAGCGAGAAAGGCTCGATTGACATGATCGTGGTGGATGGAGTGACTCTTCCAGCCAAGAGCCATGTGGGGCGGCCCAGAGGCCGAGCACCAGGGCAGACAAGGAGGGAGGAAGGCGAGGAGGGCGGCGCGGGAAGGAGTGGTAGATGAGGTGATTGGATCAGTTGACCTTTGAACGATGTCGTGCTGCCGATCATGTGCGATGCATCCCTTGTTCTTGCGACACAACCGTTGGGCAGATCAATCCTGTGCACGCCTCTTGCCACAAAAACGGCCGAGAGAAACTCCAAGTATGGGACCATGATGGACCATGAAGCATCTGATCTTCCTTTCTTTGACCTGGTTTGATATGGTTTGGTGCCTCAAAAGCTTTGGCTGTACTATGAAAGTCGGGTCTGGCAACTACTTTGCCAGGTCGGCAGATGGTTTTGGAGGTTCAGTTCTGCCACTGCCCCACACCTACAAGCAGCGACCTTCAGTTCTGCGGACAGATACGAAATCGATCGCTCCCAACCGCCACTAAGAGTGCGGTAGATCGCTCCCATGTTGGCTCCTAAGTTGGCTCTTTGGGGCGACCTCATCCCGATGTGCGCAACAAACATCCCCTCCTCTCCTTGCTTTCCTGCGGTTTCGCAGGTCAAAGAGAGCGATTTTTCGGCGCAAGCCATGGGCAGTTTGCGCGCCGTTCGGGAATCCAAGAGGTTCCGAGCCAATTGGAGGGGGGTATGCCGTGTGGGTTGGCTACTCAGAGGATACCTACAGACCTTGAGGTCTCTCCAATGTTGCCCCCGCCCCCACATGAAATCATGGGGCAGGCCTTGGGCCTGACAACACCAGAAATCCAGAAAATAAGATATCCAAGCAATATATTGCTAGTGCTATTGCTGTATACTACATATAGTGCATTGTACTACATGTTATGGTTATAAAGATATTGAATTGTTTCATTCATGCATGTCTTCGGGGATGTGGGCCCAAAGAGGGCGAGGGCCTTCACCGAGATCGTGCAGCAAACGGGTGCCACCATTGTCCTCTCTTCCGAGTGGAGGCGCGGTCGGACACCGCGCGCGGCGGTCGTCGAGCGGGTGCGGGTGCCGAGCAGGTGGACAGGTGACGCCAGGAGACCTGTCGACTACTAGTATAGCAATAAGCTAGTAGTAACAAGTGCATCGCTAGTAGTAACAAGTGCCTTACTAGTAGGAACAAGAAGCTACTAGTAACTAGTAGCAAGGGGTAGGGCCTGTCCAAGTCAAAAGAGGCTCCTCGGCGGGCAGCGTGGGGGCAATGAGGGGGCAAGGTGGAAGTAACAAGGGGGCAGCACGGACGCAATAAGGGGGCAAGGATGAGGGGGCAAGGTGGAAGTAACAAGGGGGCAGCCCGGACGCAATAAGGGGGCAAGGTGGAAGTAACAAGGGGGCAGTGTGGGGGCAATGAGGGGGCAAGGTGGAAGTAACAAGGGGGCAGCGTGGGGGCAATGAGGGGGCAAGGTGGAAGTAACAAGGGGGCAGCGTGGGGGCCATGAGGGTGCCAATTGGATCTAACAAGGGGGCAGCGTGGG